CCGCCCTCTTTACCCTGCTGCCGGGGGCTAGGGGCCAGGGAGGTGCAGCTGGGATGGCTGAAGCCAGGACCGGGGCTCTCGAGTGCGAGCAAGGAAGAGGAGCGGGAGGCCGAGGTGGGGAAGACACCAATTGACCCACAATCGTGACTCAAACATGGAAAGGGGAAGCGGCGTCTCCGGGCCCAGGCGGCCCCTGTCCGCGGTTCCCAGGCTGCAGCTCCGCCGCAAAGCCCACGGCACATCTGGGGGGAGGCGGGGAGTGCTTCCTTCCTCCGAGAGGACACTGGGTTTAATACCCGGACTCCGGCAAAGGTGGTGCTGGGGCCGGTGAGGGGCACTGAGTGTGACGGACCTACCCAGCCCTCTTGGCACCCATGTAGGACCCTTGCAGTCCACGGCACAGGAGCAAGGCCACGCCGGGGCACTGTAGAGCCTCTGCCCCACTGCTGAAGCTCAGCACATCCCATTGCACCCCGGGGCCCTGGGAGCGTGGCTCTGCATCAACCCCTGCAGCATGGGGCCCCTCAGTGCCGCAAGCCCAGGAGCCAGCGCGGGTGCAAGAGGGGAGGGCGGTTTGTCTCTGCCAAAGCCATAGTCCCCTGCGCCCCATCTGCTCCTTCAAGAGACTGGATGTGCTTGCCTTTGTCCAAGTGGCTGGGGTGGGTCTGAAAATGAAGCAAGGGAAATCCACCCGCCCATCCCATGCCAAGCCTATGGCAGGACAGGGAGGGAGGCCCAGGAGGCCGGGGCATAGTCAGGATGGAGCTGGGGCCCGGTGTGTGCGGGAGGAAGGCAGCCTGGACGGGATCTGTGCTCAGCAATAGGAAATGCTTTATTAGCTGGGAGTGGTGGAGACAAGCCAGGCAGGAAGAGGCAGTAATAAGAAACATTTTTTGACTTCTCCCACATCCAGGGCTCAGAGAGCTTGCCAAGCAGCCGCGCTCGGACACGGGGACGGAGGCCGGACCCCCTGGGGCTGGGAAAGGCAGTCCAGGCGCACCACCCCACTCCCCAGCTGCGGCTGGCGGGACACCAAAGCCAGCCCGCTACCCTGCCCTGCCCGCTTCCCGTCTGCAACGCCAGGAGGGGGCAAGGAGGAAGGGAGCTGCCCCATGACGCTGCTTCAGGTCGGAGCTCATAGCGCAGGGGAGAGCGGCCCGGGGTGAGCCCAGCGAGTGTCCCGGGCGCTGCTACCAGCGGAGGCTCACGTTTGGGAAGTCGCCAGCCCCGTCGGCCGCAGAGGCGGGCAGAGCCCCCAGAGCTGGGGGTCCCTGCAGCACCCCTGCCCCAGATAGTGCCATCCAGGAGAGGGAAGACCACCTGCAGGTGAGTGTGAATGCGCCGCACACTGGGTTTTGAGGCGGGTGCGAGGCTGCTGCCCCAGAGAGAAAACTCAGATCCAGACGGGCCAGATCAGGGTTGGCATCCCTGAAGCTCCCTGGTGTCCACCAGTGAGGCCCGGGCCTGCATTTGCTCCCCACATCCTCCATCACTCCCTGGGTCGCACGCTACCCACGGCTGTTTCATGGCATCCCCTAGGGCTTTCATTACCAGGGTGCCTCTCACATCCACCCCAAGGGAGGAACCGCATGGAGATCCCCTGGGCTGGCTCATGTGTGACATATGTGCATAACTCCGTCCTCAGCTCCAGAGCAGCCGCCAGCAGTGCTGGAATTGCTTCTGGCCGCTGGGCCAGGCTCTGGTCCTCGCTCCAGCAAAGTCAGCGGGACGTCTCCGGGTTTGCACTGGTGCAGCACAGCTCAGACTCGGACTCTGCTCCCTCATTAAGGAGGTGAGATCATATCTAACAACGTTAGAGATCAGCTACGCTGCTGGCAGGCTGGGGGGGCAGCGAATGTTGTGGGGATGTTGTGAAAAGCTGCAGGAGAAAGGTAGGGAATGATGGACTGGGACCGGGTGAAGTCACTGAAAGGGGAAAATGATGAAGGACATAGAAATTCATATGGCATAGCATGGCATGGCGTGGCGTGGCATGGCATGGCATGGTATAGTATGGCATGGCCTTGGTGTGGGACAGAAAAGCCTGAAGCTCCTTGTGCCTTTCCGAGTGACTCCACAGACTGCGTCAGCGCAGGACAAAAGCCTTTGTGGCAGCTGCAAATCCTGCTACGGGGCAGAGGGGGGCAGGATGGGATCCAGAGGTGTTGCCCAGTCCCGGGGCCCCCGGGCTGGGGTACATGGCTTGGTCCTGGCCCTCTGACCACAGAGCAGAGGTGGCTGTGAGTGCAGGAGCTCGGAGACGCCACGGAGGCGGCTCTCGAGAAGCCATTTGCTTCAGTTTGCAAAGAGCTTGCAGGGTGCTGAGCCCCATCCAAGAGCCGGCTCAGAAAAGTCTCCCCCGCCCTCCTCCAGGCTCAGAGAAAATCAGCATTTCCCAGAGAGACTGAAAACAAGGCAATGGGTGGGAAGAGGTCGCTCGACCCGTTCTTCTTTAGCTGGCAAGCCTATTCACCCTCCTCTCTGAGCGTGCCCGTCTTGCAGGGGGGCACAGAGCCCGGGAGCACACAGCTCTGCCCTGCTGGTCCCCTCCCAGCCCTCCCAGGAAGGTCCCCACAGGGCGCAATAAGCCGCCGTCGGAGGTTCAGGTTAGGAACAGGAGTCCAGCCTGATCGGATCGGGCCCTGACCCCAGGCACTAAGTTGTCTCCTGCCCAGGAGCACGGCTTGCCCTGGACGGGACCCCTGCATGGCAGGAACGTCCAGAGGAAGATGATGTCTCTGCTTCACGGGATCCCCTAATGCAGCTCCAGAGCCCGCTGTGGCCCACAGAAAAGCCCCTAGGGATCTGGGAGGATTTTTGATCGAGTCCATAGAGCCTGGGATCTGATTGTGGAGGGCCTGAGCAGGACTGGGGCCACTCAGCACCCCTGGAAACAACCCCGGAGCCACGGCGCGGAAACTTCTCAGATCAGTCATCTCTTCCCCCTGCAGCAACCCCAGGGCGCCACCATGCACGCCCACGCGGCCGGCATTGCTTGCGGGGGGGCTTCGTGGCCACTGACTCCATGGGAAAAATAATAGGGAACTGGGTCATGGGAGCTACATCCTGGCTCCAAAAACACAGAAGTAACCAGAACCACAAATGGCAGAGGAAGTGCTGGGCTTGTGACCCAGAGAGTGGCAGGGGGAGGAGGGGAGCTGAACATCCCTCTCCTGCCCAGGGCAGGGGGTGAGACGATCCCTGCGGGTCAGGGCTGGGCGGTGGAGTGCGAGCGCGGTGGAGAAGGGGTTTCCGTCCCCTGGGCCTTCCCTCAGACACCGGTCCCCAGCACAGCCCCTCGCAGACAGGCGACGTTTGGGTTGCCCAAAGGTGCGGCAAGGTCTGGGGGACGGGAGGTCAAGAAGAGGCAGCGAAAGGGCTGCCAGCCTCCCCGGCCCTGTCTCCTTGCAGGCTTGGAGCACAGCTGCCCTCGGCCAGCACCGAGCGCGCCTTGGTTTTAAAAGGAGCTCTAACGAAGCACAGTTCATCCATGTGCCTCCTATAAGCATCTTCCATGGAGAGCGCTGCATTGCCCTGCCTTATTATGTGATTATACAGGGCACCTTAACATAACACCTACACGCTTAGCACACTGTTGCACTATAAATAATAGCTGCGGCACATGGGTGGAAGAGATGGAATTAAGGTTGCTCTGGAAACCTTATCTCCGATTATCTTCACCCAGATTCTCAGCCCTGTAAACCAGTAGAGCTGCCTTGGCTTCAAAGGAGCTCGACCAGTTGGGGAGAACCGGAGAAGCTGGTCCCTTGATTTATTTATTCAAGGTTCAAGGAGTCCCAGACAAGGAAATGTCACCCCTTTTGGCCCAGGCGGTTAGTGCGTGAGGCTTGGTGGGGCAGTTTCTGCGAAGGAGAAGCTGATGGCAGGAGTCACGTACGCTTTAGTGCTGTCCTGTGTGTTTGCCCAGCACCGGCCGGGGCAGGACGGAGCAGCAGTGGGGCAGGTCCCTGCACTGGAGCGTCCCAGCCTGCTTTTCCAGCCGGCCCTGTGCCCAAAGGAGCCCCGTCCCCCTGCTCCTTTGTGGGGTCAGGGTGGCATCCGCACCGGAGATGGTCTCTGCCGTTACTCACAGGGAAATCCCTCCGATTCCCCTGGGGAGCGCTCTCGCTCAGACCTCCCCATGCAGAGCAGTGCCTTGGGCAGTGGCTTCTCTTCTTCCCTGCTATCACCACATAAAAGAGGTTTAACTGGCTCTTCCTGAAGGTGGTTTCCATTCCCCCTGCTTCCAGGGGTCTTTCTAGCCCTTGCAACTGCAGAGAAAAGCTGGACGACGTGAGCCAAGAGTGCAGAAGGCAGAAGGAAGAGAACGTCCATCTGCTTTTAAATGCACATGCTTCTCAAACCCGTCTCACACTATTTGGGAGCCTGGCTCAGGACCCTTAGGTGTTTGGGGCAAGCAGTGCAGATCATTGGCAGCCTGCTTATCTGCCCCTAGAAATACAGGAGATGCTAGAGGCATCGCTGGAGCCGGCAGGGGAAGAGGCTGGGCGCCCCGGGGCAGGG